ACCGGCGCTTTATGTTGGTTTATAACTTAAACTGATAAGGGATCAGATAATGTACAGATTTTTTATCTTTGCTGTCTTTATTTGGTGATTAAAGGAACTAAAAAGCGCCACACTTCCTGGAAGAATAAACATACTCAAGCAACAGTAACTGAGAGCTGTGCTCCAGTGCAGCACTTAAAGCAAACTGTACTTCCCACCGCTTTACGAGCGCCGCTCTTTGAAAGTGCAACAAAGGCCAAAGGAACAAAGAGTCAGTGTGGAGCCACACCTCTTATCAGCATGTCTGCCTGCACATCGCTGCAAATACCTGCACTGGAAACACGATGTTATTACTGCACGCTGCAATAAACGCACAAAAGGGCAGAGCTAAGTGTTAAGTACACATTGACACACACAGATTACCGCTGTGCTCTCCGTGGGGCTTTAATGAGCACCGAGCACTGTAATTAACCGAGACTTTCAAATTGAGGAACCTGTAGGAACACCGCTCAGAGAGAAGGAACCTGCTCGGCTGCACGAAGCAGCAGCAGCCGGTCAGAACGCCGCATTTTTGACACGACCCAGCGCTCAGCTATGAGAACAATGCTGCTCGTAAACCGACTGGAAGACTCGTTCTGCTCTGGGAAAAATGGAGAACGCATTGATTCGGTGTTTTTAATATTACATTAGGATGCACGCGAAGCAGCCCGGCGGGTAATAAAGCGTAGAACTTGGACGGGCCGCCGTGCCGTGGAATGCCCCTGTGTGGCGACCACAGCTTTTTACAGTCGGGCTCAATGCTGCCTTTGTGCAGCCGAGCCCAGCTGGCCGTCCAGGAAAACCTCAGCCCCACATCTCCAGAAACACAGACGTCTGCACACAGGCCACCTTTTTATTTTGGGATTTACACTGGGAACAGGCTACGCACAATCTGCTAGATCTGTACGAGCAGGCCGGTCTGCGCTGTTTACTCTTAAAATCGCAGCGACGCAGAGCTGGTACTGATTGTAAAAAAAGTAATATAAATGTCGCTGATGTAAACAGTCCTTCGCTGGGATTTATTTCGCTGTCTCGCGTTAATCCCTGTATTAAAACACTTGAAAGCTGCAGTGGGACCCGGTCATGTGGTTTGAATTGTGAATGAGAGCGCTGGTTTATATTTGGACCAGATAAAGTGCCTTTAATTAGCGGAGGTCGGGGTTAACTGGATATTCAGCCGCTCCACTTTCCCCCTGCGACAACGCGATTGGCTGGATGCTTCCTGGTTCGGCTGTCACGATGCAGATGATTGGCTGTTTGAGTCGGGGGCGGGACTTATGGCACACGACCACCACGGAATACATTTTTTAACTGATCAGTATCGACCTCCTTGAACCCGATCCTTTGTTTACATCCACCGATTCAATCACTAATCAATTACTCAATAGCACGAGTCGATATTTCTCTTCTGCTAACATTGCTAATTTAGTAAACGGACCCATGCAGCAGCATCGCCCCAGTCAATCCCAGTTGGTACCAAACACTGGAGCTCTGGTTGGAGCTCATTAACCTCCTCAGAGTCTCTGTCATGGTCCCGCTGCTGCTAAGCTCCCACAAGTACGCCTCCTCTGGTCGCCACCTGGTGGAACAACCAGGTACTGCAGCTGGTCTACGATATGTTTCCTGACATCATGTAGAGAATACAGGTTTTCTCCGTATTTTTAGGCTTGTGGAGCGACAGAGCATCCTACCCTTTAACGCTACATTTCAGAGGGTGTTCAACAAGGTTCACGACCACCTACGTAGCATCAAAGTCATGCTTTCTCCGTCCACACTGTTAGAAGTGACGTAAATTCCTGTACCTACTTAAATCTGCGAGGATCCAAGAAGTGGTGCTGAGCACAAATGTTGCAAAAGATTTTAAAAAAGTTTTGATGAAGGTTTACAAATTTACTTTTAAGAACACTTAATTGCCATTTTACAGATTTTCTCTGTTTTTTTTAAAGTTACAGATAACTTGTAAAATCACAGAAAAAAAATGAAGTATTAAATCACATGTTAACTGTATTTAAATCAGCAAAAATTACTTTACAGACATTCACTGCTGCTTGAAACCTGGAAAACATCACAGAAAAAAAACAGGAATTTACGCTGTCTGGAAAAAGAACAAAAACAAAGTGAGGCCAGAGTTGTGAACAATGCCCACATCAAAAGTCTTTAAAAAAAACATTTATTAAGGATTAAAAAGGTTCAATAAAATGTTTTTTTTAATGATCATTCTCTTGATTTCTCTTGATTTGCTAAACTATCTATTTAGAAGCATATCCAGTAAAAGCAAAGAAAAAAAAGTGCTAATTGTTAAAAAAAAAAAAAAGAAAGTTAAAGAAATTTGCTCTTTTGCAAAGTGTGACTGTAAAATAACACTTTTACAAACGATTTACAAAATCAGTATAATTTACCACATTTTCAAACTTTTCTTCTTTTTTTTTTTTTTTTAACAGTTTTTAAATATCAAAGTGTTTTTTCTTCAGCAGCTAAAGTTCCATCTTTTAAAAACAGGATTTTTATTATTATTTTTATATTTTTTTTAACACCGTGGAGTCTTTCTGTACCTGTCGGTCACTTTCACTGTTTGATAAAAAGTCCGAGGGCAGCGAACAAAAGAGCGAAGCAGCGAAGTGCGCAGCTGCGAGCGCTGGCAGCGCGAGGAGGAGGTATCACATTACAACAACACGCTGGGAGCCCGCGCGCCCTCCCTCCTCGGAGCATCGCGTGAGAGCAGCTCCGACTCCGCTGCTTGATTGTGATTAATGCGCGAGAGCAACATATCCCTGCCAGACCCGGGCCGACGGATTCTTAAGGTGGTCCGAAGCCCAGAGGACCGAAAAAAAAAATCACCAGAGCCCTCCAAACACCGAACCACGGCACACACACAAAAAACCCACAGCAGCTGTTTGCGTGAATAAACCCGGTGGATTTAGGCTGTTTTAGTTAACTATAACCAGCTAAACAGCGAAAACGAACTTCACCTAACACGGTCCACCTTAATTATCGACATTTTCAGCATGGTTTGACTTAATAACTTATCGATTCCGAGCTAATCGATAAAGAAAGCACACTTAACTCACTCTAATTGCCCCCTCTCGGCTAAACTAGTAAAGCTAACCAGGTTAGTTTAACTGAACTGACGCGGCGTCGCTGAGCTAGTTTTCGTCACTTTTACCAAACTTGTTAGCTTAAAAGTTAGCTTGAAGTTAAGAGTTAGCTTAAAGTTGAAAGTTAGCCTAAAGTTAGCTTAAATGTGAGGCGGACTTCGAAGCTAAATAACTTTAAACGAAACAGATTCGGCTCCTTTTCGCGGAGTTTAAACGCTCAGCAGACAAACTCCGGAGCCACCCCCGCTCCGCTCAGCCCTCCCTGCCCGCGTCTTACTGCTTGAGGACGGGCTTCTTCCTCTTCTTGTTCGCGTACGTCCCGGGGTTCCCGAACATGGTTGTCACTCGGTGTCTCTCGACTGTGTCACAAACTGCTGCTTAAGCCACGCGAGTCTCCCCCATCCATCCACACACACGGCGGAGCGAGTCTTCAGCGGGTTAGTCCGTGAGTCATGCTGAGGAAGCCGGGGTTTGGGGTGCTGCGGAGGTCCGGAGCCGCGCTGACAGCTCCTGTGGGCGGTCACCGCTGCTGACCTGCTCGGCTAAAAGGGCGAAGATCGCGGCCGCCGCTGAGCGAGTTCGCTGGAGGGGAAGGAGATGGAAGTAAAGAAAAGTTCTGGCACCGATCTGAGCCGATGTCCAACCCCCCTCTTTCTTTGGATAAACAACGCCGCCTTATGATTATTATTCAGAGTTTTCTTTTTCTCTCTCACACGGGGCGTTTTCAGGAAATGTGTCTGTACAGTGAGCGGAGCTGCGTTTTTAAGGTGGACTGGACTCTTCTGCTTTTGTAACATCCACATTAGGTTGGAGGAGTTTTTTTTTTTAAGTAGTTTGGCTGAGGTTTCTGATCACAGCGGGATCGCCTCCAGAAATGCTTCATAGGGGCAGCACGCACACACACAAAACAAAAAGCATAAGTGAGTCTGAAGACGTCCATTAATCTGCTGTGGCTGCACACAAACTTGTTGAAAAGTCAACATGAGAGTTAAGAAATCACACAGCACAGTTGATGTTAGTCATTATCTCATGTGCACGGACTAATACGGCTGTTATGAGGGGAAAAAGTTCTCTCACAGGCAAAACATCCACAGTTTATTTATGATTCAGTTTCAATCAAACTGCAGCCAATTATGGTACAGTCGGGTGTGTTTTCATTCTTACTTGTCATTACGTTAATGGCGACAGATTGCTGTAATTGCTGTATTCTGCTGTGAAACAAACAAAAATACCCGACAAAAAAATATTGGACATGGCAGAAGAATATTTTGACGGAGCTGATTTTTACAGTAAAACAATATCCAGCTGTGGTGCAGCTCAGGATTCAGCAGTCTGGTGAGTCAGAACTCCTGGATAGGACTACATCATGAAGAACACAAGAACACTCCAAGAACTCTGTG